GATCTGGGATGCAGGGCCTCCCTGCTGCTGCAGGGCTGGGGGCGGTCTGCTTGTCTCCACCCCGGGGGAAAGGGTAGCATCTGGACCTGGACCTGAGGTAGAGAGTATGTTTGGGGAGCGTGATTGTGTGTACAATGTCCATTTGTGTCTGTCTTTACGTTGTGTGAGTGCTGAGTATTTGTATATGTGTGCGTAAGGGTAGGAATGCACGTTTGTGTCTGCGTGTGCCTGTTTGTCTGTTTCTATATGTCAGGTCGGATCTCAGACTCCACCTCTCTGGCAACATCTCAGGACTATCTCCCCTCACCACACTCCCTGCTGGTGGCCGGTGGCCTCAGGCGTCAGTGCGTTGGTGGCGCCCGTGGCTCGGTCGGGCCTCTTCGGCCTCTGGGCCTGTGGCTTTGGCACAGCTCGCTGCGGGCAGAGCCTGCGGGCACACCACTGCAGCCCCTTCTGGCTTCTGCTCAGTGGCTGCTGGGTGACCTCTCGTTTGGGGCTCTCCTCAGCTCTTCCCAGGAGGGTGGCACAGTTGCCCCCCTGGTGGTCCTCCTTGGGCTCTCGCACTCTGGGGCCTCTGGATGTCTGGGACCTGAGTCTCCTCCATACCTGCTTCATGCCCTGGGGGACGGGGCTATGGCTCCCCAGACCATCTAGCAGATCGTTACGTGGAGAAACCTTTTGAATACAAGCACGCTGATACACACAGGTATGCACACAGGTGTACACAGACACAAACTGCACCTTTCTTGGCTGCTACCTCAAAGCACTTTGTGCGCTGTCGGTCCTGCGTGCTGCATAACAACATTCAATATTTAGTATTTACTGTTATTTACTGTTAGCTAGATTAATGCGATAGTGCTGTGTTTATTATGTTGCTCCCTCCTTTTACTTGTTTTCTCTTTTTCTCTTTTCTTTCTTTCAACAGGTGATCTTTCTCACTGTCCCTCTTCCCCTCTGTGTTTTGTTCCTTCATCTTTCTTTCTCCCTTTCCTATCCCCCAGTCATGTCTGTCCCATCTGTGAGAAATGAAAATAAAATAAAATAAAATAAAATAAAATAAAATAAAATAAAATAAAATAAAATAAAATAAAATAAAATAAAATAAATAATAACAACAAAGGTCAATCAAATGGACCAAAACGGCAAGGCCGTGATGATCCACTTGGCAAAGTAAATCCATTAAGTATCTTTGTTGGCTTTCAGACATCAATTCTGACGGCTAAAAAACCATGGGACAGGCAAAAAATAAATAAATAAATAAAATAAATAAATAAATGATAACCCATGCTGACCGTATCTCAGTCATATATGTGCACACATATAGATACCTCCAAAAACTGTTTTTAACAGTGGTAACTTTGGTAACTTTAGGATGAGCAGGCAATATAACAACACAAAATTAACAACATTGCGAATTAGACACGGGAAGTACAGCTGTCATCAAATTACAAAAAGTGTGGCTTTAACAGATTAATAAACATAACATGTTTTCTGGATTTAACCTGAATTACTAGTTTTCTTTTAAAAATCAAAAATATATGTATTTAAACAATTGTGCATGTAAGCAACCACTTTTGAACATTATCTGTCCACACATTGCAAATTCTGAAATGTAATCCTTCACGAGCCACCGTAGCCTAGTCTGTTGTCAAACAGTTAAACTTACAGACAGAAAGAGTTAAACTTACAGATCAGTTACACTATGCAGATTTTAAATGAAATTTCCAATGAAAATATGCCGAACTTTTCTTTACAAATTGTATACATTGTATCCAAATTATATCCATTTAAATGATAAAGTTTAAATGGAATGTAACTGGAAAAAATGAAACCAATTATTTGGCTGAAACTAAACTTGATAAAAATTAAAATGTAACTCTAATAGTGTCACTTAAAATTACTTGTAATACTCAAATAATTTCCATGTGATGTTTCTCAACACAAAAAGTTGGAAGTGCACTTGATAAAAATTCTTCAAACCTTCTTTAGATTTCAAACGTATGTTTATGTCAGATCAACTGAATTTAATGTGACACTTATATGTTAGACAGAACAAGAAATTTATGTTATCAATCAGCTAATCACTCAATCAATCAGTCAATCTACCCAGACGATATATGAGATGATGATGAACACTGGAGGGAAACATAGGTATGGTGTTTAAAAAAAATAGCCTCCACCACTCCATCAAAACTCCAAAGCTGAACTCTAGGAAGTCCAGAAAGTTGAGAAAGACACAGTTTTGCCTGTCTATTCTTTCCTTTCCTTTCAAACCATTTGCATCAGTAATAGTGTAGAGCACTTTAAAAAGCACTGACTGACAAATCTAGACTTTTCTAATCAAGGTAAAGAAGAGTAAGAAGACTAATCTAATCAAGGAGTTAAAGATATTAAAGAAGTGGTTTGATAGAAACAAATTGTCCTTAAATTTAAATAAAACAAAATTTATGTTATTCGGAAACTATAAGAAAAACATTAACATTGAAATATGTGTTGATAATATATATCTAGAAAGGGTTAATGCCATAAAATTTCTTGGTGTGATCATTGATCATAAGGCCTGTTGGAAATCACACATCACTTATGTGAGGGGAAAGTTAGCACGGGGCATTGCTGTCTTGGGGAAAGTAAAACAATTTTTGGATAGGAAAACATTGTATATGTTATATTGTGCTTTGCTATTACCATACATGAGTTATTGTGTAGAGGTTTGGGGAAATACATATAAAAGTAATATTCAGACTATAATCATAATGCAGAAAAGGGCCATTAGACTAATAAATCAGGAGGGGTATAGGGCTCACACAAACGCACTCTTTATTAGGACGCAAGCTATAAAATTCCAGGATCTGGTGAAGTTTAAAACAGTGCAAATAATATATAAGGCAAGGAAAGGGATAATTTCCCAATCGAAATAAGTAAATGGTTCTTAGAAAGAGAAGGGAGGTATAATTTTAGAGGGAAGTGGAATTTAAAATTACAAAGAGTAAGAACAACATT